CTCCCCTCTGCTCCTGGGTGGACCTACCCCCTGAATCTTTTCGTCTGCTGCTAGATCCCAGGCATTCTTTGATTTTCCCTGGCATTCATGGAAAAGTGCCCTTTGCCCCCCTGCTCCTGAGCACATGACTGGACACCATTATTTCTTTCGCCATTGCTCCATATGCCCTCAGTGACACATGTTTTGACACTTTTCTCCAGTATACGTCAGTGCCATGCGTGGTGATATTTTCACCACCTGGATATCGCCCCTGGACCTGTTTACACGTGTAATGGCAAGCAAGTCAGCTTGAAGGAGCCCCAGGCCCTTCAGAGTCATTGCAGCCTACTGCTCTTTCAATGGAGGGAGGCCGAGGGCTCACGGGTCAGTTACATTTCAGCTGACACCACGTCTTGGGGCTCATGGGATCTTTTTGGGCTGCAGTGAGGCCCCGCCTGCCTCTGTAGATGTGCTCTGTGGATCATTTTTCTCTCGGAGGGGTCCAGAGTCGGATCTGATGAGGGGTCCTGAGACGACCCATGGGCCCCCCTTGAAGCTCCCCCTCCCCTGGTGGCAATCGGCCCAAGGTGGTCCTGCAGATGGGTCTCCCAGCAGTTGGGTCTGTGGACACCGCCCGTGGCCTGGTCTCCCTCGTGGCCCCCTACTAGAGCCGGGATCCAGCCGATGGCAAGGCTGCAGCAGGAGAGCCCCTGGTGCCCAGCACACTACCAGTGTCCTGGAATGCGGTATCAGCTTGCAGGAGCCCTATGGTAAAGAAGACTAGGCTAGCTGGAGACAAAAAATCCAAGGATAGGCATAAACCAATGGGAGCCAATGGTATTAATGGTGGCACTTGGTAACTTGCAGATGAGGAACAGTTTTTGGACAGAAAAGAGCGTAACATATTTGTTGACTACCTGGTCTGTGTCACCTTTTTTTGTAATCTCCCAGCTACCCTGTGAGATAAACATTATTATTCCCATCTTATTGATGAAGAAACTGACTTTCAGAAAATGTTTAATTCCCCAAGGCTGCCATGTGGATGATCTGAGTCTTAGGGCCAGCTCTGTCTGGCTGTACATTCTTTTTCACACCATCACATTAACCTTTGGGAAATGAAGGAGGCAAGACATAAGGTGGTGAGTCCCAGTGTTTCCCATAGGAACCCATCAGTGGATCTGCCAAAGTCAAAACATGAGCTGAAATATGTTATAATAATACTTAGCAGGGAGCAGGGTATAGTGTCTCACACCTATAAGCCCAACACTTTGGGAGGCCAATGCGCGTGGATCACTTGAGCTCAGGCCAGCATGGTGAAACCTCGTGTACAAAAAATTCAAAAGATTAGCTGAGTGTGGTGGTGCATGCCTGTAATCCCAGCTACTTGGGAGGCTGAGGCACGAGAATCACTTGAATCAGGGAGGCGGAGCCTCTCTGATTTCTGCTCACTGTGGAGTCTCTTCACATAGTCTTAAAAGATTATTGCTATGAAATTTCTTATACATCTAACCCATAACCTCTACAATTCTGCAGTTTTAATTGGTTGTCTTACCAATAATGAGTTCCTTTTGCTTCAAAATATTTAAAATTTCCAGAAGGCATAAATATCTATAGTATAGTTTTTTAGTTATTACTAACATAACTTATATGTAAAGGTTTTATACAATATTTCCCTTCTCTTTTCTTTTGCATCATAACACACACTGAAATATAATATTTTCTATAGCAGTGGGGGTAAATGGACAAAGACTTTTGTGGCTAGAGTTGAATTGCGCAGGGTCTCCAGCACTCGCCAGGTCCCACTGAGCCTACCACACAGCTGAGGGCATCGGTATTTCCCACACCTGTAGCACAAGTGCCCCAGAACAGAGATCAGATGTTCTCCTTTTCAAATGGGGAGTTGAGAGTAATTGTCATTGCCGG